GAAAGACCTACATTAGTACAGGAGTGGCTTTTTTTTTTTTTTTAGTAAAAGTGAAAAGCCTCTTCAGGTTTCTTTTGGTTAGGTACTAATGTATAATAGACTTTAAACTAAAAATGGTTTGAAGAGACAAAGAAAGTCATTATATAATGATAAATAGGTCAGTCCATCAAAACAATATAAAAATCATAAATATTTAAGCACTCAACATCAGAACACCAAAATATATATAGCAATAACTAACAGAACTAAAAGGAGAAATAAACAGCAAGACAGTAAGTTTGGGGCTTTAATATCCCACTCATAGCAATGAATAGATCATCCACACAGAGAATCATTATGGAAATACTGGATTTGAACAATGCTGTAGACCACATGGACCTAACAGACATACATAGAACATTCTATCTGACAACAGCAGAATACACATTCTTTCAGGTGCACATGGAAAATTTACTGGCATACCATATGTTTAGGCCATAAAACAAGTAAGTATTAGTAAGTTCAAGAAGACTGAAAACATGCCAATTATCTTCTCTGACCACAGTGGTATAAAACTCAAAATTAGTAACAGGAGGAAAACTGATGAATACAGAAAAATTAAACAATACTCTCCTGAATAGTCAATAATCAAAGAAGAAATTAAAGGGGAGATTTAAAAATATCTTGAGAGAAATAAAATGGAGACACAACACAAGAAAACTTATGGGATGTGGCAAAACCAGTTTTAAGAAGGAAGTTCATAGCAATAAACATCTATATTAAGAAACAAGAAAGAATTCAAATAAACACTCTAACGTCACACCTCGAAGAACTAAAAAAAGAAGAACAAACTAAGCCCAACGTTAGCAGAAGGAAGGACATAATAAAGATTAGGGCATAGATAAATGAAATAGAGAACAGGAAAACAATAGAAAAGATTAACCAAACTGAGAGTTGCTTCTTTGAAAAGATAAAATTGATAAAGCTTTAGCTAGACTAAACAAGGGAAAAAGAGAGAGGATCCATCAACAAAATTATAAATGAGAGGAGACATTACAGTTGGAAACAGAAATAAAGAGGATCATAAGGGGCTACTGTGACAACTATACTCTAAAAAATTGGACAACCTAGCGGAACCTGGGTGGCTCAGTCGGTTAAGTGTCTGCCTTTGGCTTGGGTCATGATCCCGGGGTCCTGGGATCGAGCCCCACATTGGGCCCACTGCTCAGTGGAAAGCCTCCTTCTCTCTTTCCCTCTGCTGCTCCCCCTGCTTGTGTGCTCGCTCGCGTGCTCTCTCTCCTTCTCTCCGTCTCTGTCAAATAAAATCTTTAAAAAATAAAAAATTAAAAATCAGACAACCTAGAAGAAATGGGTAAATTCTTAGAAACATACAACCTACCAAGACTGAATCAGGAAGAGATAGAAAATCTTAACAAACCAATTACTAGTAAGGACATTGAATCAGTAAATAAATGAAGAAAACCCATAACCAGATAGCTTCACTGGTGGATTTTACCGAATATTTAAAGAAGAATTAATGACAATCCTCCTAAACTCTTCCAAAAAATCAAAGAGGAGGAAATACTCCCAAACTCATTTGACAAGGTCATCATTACCCTGATATCAAAGCCAGAAAATAACACAAGACTACAGGCCAATATCCCTGATGAAGATAGATGCAAAAATTTTCAATGAAATACTAGCAAACTGAATTCAGCAGTACATTAAAAGGATCATTCACCATCGTCACATAGGAGTTTTCTCTGGGATGTAAGCATGGTTCATGACATGCAAATTAATAGATGTGACATATCAAATTAGAAGAATGAAAGATAAAAACCATATGCTCATCTCAATAGATGCAGAAAGAACATTTGTCAAAATTTTATATCCATTCATGACAAAAAAAAAAAAACTCTTAACAAATTAGGAATAGACAGGGCGCCTGGGTGGCTCAGTTGGTTAAGCGACAGCCTTCGGCTCAGGTCATGACCCTGGAGTCCCTGGATGGAGTCCCTCATCGGGCTCCCTGCTCAGCAGGGAGTCTGCTTCTCCCTCTGACCCTCCCAACCCTCCCCCCTCTCATGCTCTCTCTCTGTCTCTCTCTCTCAAATAAATAAATAAAATCTTTAAAAAAAAACAAACAAACAAATTAGGAATAGACAAAGTAGCTCAACATAATAAAGGCCATATGTGACAAACCCACAGCCAACATCATCCTCAATGATGAAAGTTTGCAAGCTTTCTGCCTAAGATCAGGAACAAGACAAGAATGCCCACTTTCTCCACTCATATTCAACACAGTACCAGAAGCCCTAGCCAGAGCCATCAGGTAAGAAAAAATAAAAGGCAGTCAGAATTGGAAAGGAACAAGTAAAATTATTTTTATTTGCAGATTACAAGATTTTATATACAGAAAATCCTGAGGACTCCACTAAAAAACTGTTAGATCAAGTTAGCAAATTCAGTAAAGTCGTACAAAATCAACATAAAAATTCAGTAGCATTTCCATGCACCAACAAAAAATTAACTGAAAAAGAAAATGATTCTATTCACAATAGCATCAAAACCAAAAAATAATAAAGTACTTTTTGCAGAAAAATAGACACATAGACCAATGAAAGAGAATAGAGAGTCCAGAAATAAACCCCTGCATATACAGTCAACCAGTATATGAGAAGGAAGCCAAGAACATTCAGTGGGGAAATGATAGTCTCTTCAATAAATGGTGTTGGGAAAACTGGATAGCTACATGGAGAACAATGAAATTGGACTCCTGTCTTACAGCACTCAAAAATTAACTCAGAATGGACTGGACTTAAAATAAGACCAGCTACTGTAAAATTTCTAAAAGAAAACATAGGGGAAAAGCTCCTTGACATTCGTCTTGGCAGTGACGTTTTTGGATATGACACCAAAAACACTAGCAGCAAAAGCAAAAATCAACAAGCGCGACCACATTAAACTACAAAGCTCTGCACAGCAAAAGAAATAATCAACAAAATGAAAAGGCAACCTATGGAATGGGAGAAAACATCTGCAAACCATATATCAGATAAGGGGGTAATATGTATGCACATATAAATATATAAAGAACTCACTCAACTCAATAACAACAACAACAAAAATAAGCAATTGAATTGAAAAAAATGAGCAGAGGAAGTGAACAGACATTTTTCCAAAGAAGACATGTAAATGGCCAGTAACTTACCTGAAGAGTTCCCAGCATCACTAATCATCAGGAAATGCAAATCAAAACCACAAAGAGAGATTATCTGTGACCCCTGTGACAAGGGCTGTCATCAAGAAGACAGGAGATAACAAGTGTTGGGAAGATATGGGGAACAGGGAGCCCCAGTGCACGGCCAGCAGTATGCAAAATCGTTTAGCCACTCTGGAGACGGAGTGGAGGTTCCTCAGAAAACTAAAAACAGAAATACCATATGACCCAGCAGTCCCACTTGTGGGTATCTATCCAAAGGAACCGAAAACAGGAATTTGAAGAGGTATGTGCACTCCCATGTTTATTTCAGCATTATTCACAATAGCCAAGATATAGAAACAACCTAAGTATCCATAAACAGATAAAGAAAATGTGGTGTGTGTGTATATATATATATACATATATATTTATATATATGTATATATATACAATAAAATATTATTATATTATTCAGTCATGAGAAAAAATGAAATCCTGCCATTTTGCAACAACATGGATGGACTTTGAAGGCATTGTGCTAAGTGAGATAAGTCAGACAGAGAAAGGAAATATTATATGATATCACTTACATGTGCAATCTAAAAAAGCTGAACTCAAAAAAACAGACTATAATGGTGGTTACCAGGGGCTGGAGGCTGGGGGAATTGGGGAGATGTTATTTAAGGGTACAGACTTACAACAAGCAAGTATGTTCTGGAGATCTAATGCACAGCATAGTGATTACAGTCAATAATACTGTATTGTAAACTTCAAAGTTACTAAGAGACTAGATCTTAACTGTTCTCACCACAAGAAAGAAATGATGATTGTGTGACCTGATAGAGGTGTTAACTAACACTATGGTGGTAATCATATCACAACATATAAATGCATTAAATCAACTCACTGTACATCTTCAATCTTGGCATGTTATATGTCAATTATAAAAAATAAATTAAATAATAACACACTAACAAAAGACATGAAATGAAAAAATAATTTAGATAAATGTATCATTAAGCCATTGATCAGTGGTAAATTAGCTTTAGAAGACTTGGTTTTAGGTCAATTAATTCTTGGCCAAAGGCATGTTCTTAGATTTTCAACACATCGATTCTATATGGAGGGGCAGGGTGAGAGGTTGGGAAGTCTCTTGAAGCTGTACGCAATCTTTCGACAATAAATGGTTATTGAAGAAATAGTGTGCTCTTTATCTTTGATCTTTTAACTCTCCTGATCTCACCATCCTTGTCATGTGGGACAGTTACACAAAGGATTAAAAATAGATGAAAAAACATTAGTTTTCAGTGTGATCTAAGCTTATTTACCTTCCAGATACTATTAAGAACCTCGTACGTATATGACAGTAGTCTCTTTTTTCAGGAACAACTTAAAAATGCAACTTCTTCTTTTTTTAAAAACGGTCCTTAGGCAATTGTCTTATCCTTATTGTGGAAAAGAGTGTATTGTGGAAAAGTTCCCTTGCAAGTCAGAGTACTTTTGGTAACAAAGACTTTACACTCATAGGACCTTACTTCTTGGCCTCCTCCAAAAGACGACTGGCCAAAGGCCCTGGCCTCTGGGGGATTTGAGATCCAATAGGAAAAGTAAAGGGTTAACCATCTGGTTTCCTGTAATTAGGTTAATTTGTCACCAAATTTAGAGACTCCAGGGTTTGGAAATATTCCAACGGAAGTTGTTTTATTTTCTTACTTGTTAAGCTTCACTGACCAAAAGGAACCTCAGTCCCCCAGAAGTAAATAAAAGGCCCTGTGTTTCACTATCCCTGATCACTCACCTTTCTACTGGGCATTCCACCATGAGACTCCATTCCCTTCTTTCTGTGCTCTTCCTCTTTGTGACTATAATACCAAAAGGTAAGACGGTGAATAATTGTAGGTTTCTTAGGAGATGGTGAATAACTGTGGGTTTCTTAGGAGGTCCACTGGGATGCTCAATGATACTGTGGCGATTTTAACTCAGACCCTAATGCTCAGCCTTAGGGAATCAGAAGTCCATCATGATCATCTCCCTTAGAACTGATGAGGCCAAAAATGCAAAACCAAAGATTTCCATCGACAGAAAATGAGATCCAAGAGCTCCATGCTTAGAAAGTAGGGCCCAAATAAAGATAGAGGTGGAGAAGCTGTGACATATGACTTAAGGCTTAGCAAACAAATCAAGTAGCCTTTACCAGGCCCCAATCTCCAAAAAGGAGATTGCAAATGGCAGCTCTTGGTTCAAACTTGGCTAGTGAATGGAAGTGATGTAGAGTCTACTGGTGAGGAATATTTGTGAAGGGTAAAAGTTAGGTCCTTAAGACAGAGCTCCACAAGAAAGGATTGCATTAAGTTATAAAAAAGCAACAGGGAGTAGGGGAATTTGGAAAAAGCATAAACAGTGGAATAAAGCATCAGCGGCAAAATTTTAAGCATAGGAAAAATATGAAGAAAGCATTTTAAGAATATGAGTTATATTTTTAGGACCCATGATTCAGAAGTTTGAATATGAAAATGTAGAATCAAAGGAAAAGGGGAATGTGGTTATCTTCAGGCTGGTTCAACCAGATCCTCATAAGAACTGATAATTCCTCCCTCCACTGTTATGACAGGATGTTCGCAACTCTCGAAATAATGTCTGTGGTCATTAAACACAGATGAGGTCTGGATAACTCTCTTACTTTGTTGGTTCATCTCTAAGATTCTTCTAAGTATAATCAACAACACTCACTTGTTTGATCTTTGCCTCCTCTGTGGCTCTCTTGGGATCTACCTGACATACAGTTGTCTCCAATGAAGGAGTTCACGTAATTCTCATTTGGTTCTCAGTTTTGTCACAAGAAGACACAGCTGCAGGGACACACACTTGCAGTGACATCTAATGGAAAATCATACAATGATCATGCCTTAACATTAGAAGGCAATGTAATGGTGAATTCTTTAATTGTACAGATAAGAGAATCCATGTCTACCTAAAAAATATGATTCTGCTGGTCAACTAGTAGTGGCAACACTGCGGCTAGAACCATCTTTAATCTGGGTCAGTGTTGGTTCCATCAATCTACAGGTGTGGATATGCCCATAAAATGTAACCCTGATTTCTCTCAGGGTTTTTACCTCAAAATCTCCTAACTAAATACTGAGGAATCTAAGGAGATCCCTATATTTCCTCTTTTGGAAGATATAATGTCTGTGAAACATCTTATTTCACTTACCTCCATATTCTTCCCTCCACTGTTTGAGCTAAGCATGTCAAATGGGCTAAATGTTCTGCCATTACTGTTGGCCTATTAATCCTAGTCTTTAGATTCTCCTGATCTCTGTTCCTTAAAATCAGGTAAACTGCTCTCAATTCTGAAAGCATTTGCCATAAGAGAATTATGGCTGCACAGCTGATGAGCGAATAGGATTTGCTCATGCTTGCCCTCCACCATCTGAGCTAAATTCAGCTCAACGTAAATCACTGTCTCCTCCCCAAAGTCAGAGCCCGTGTTACTAGCTGGGTCTTTTTTTAAAAAAGGTTAACAAGGGACAGATCTCCTTGAAGTAGACTTTAGCCAAAACTCACCATTCTAGTGGGAAAAGGGACAACAATAGTTCGGGTGTATGAAGGAAGCACATTGAGAAAAAGGCTGTCCTGGGGCGAAGGCCAGAAATGATTTATGGTAAAATAGGATTCTAGGTAATCTAGGCCTAACATTTAGAGAAGTTAACACGATAATGACAAGACTGGATACTCACAAAAATAGTGCATCCAAAAGTAAGATAGTAGTAGATACCAGATAATCTAAAACAGACTGAGGCCAAGAGGTTTTAGAAGGAATAGAAGAGAGAGAATGTGTGTGGGGTCAGAGAGTACCTTACTGCATTCAATGGCAACAAATATTTACTGAGCACCTCTTATTATTCACACGCTGGGTCATTCACACCACACCCAGGATACGATGGAGTACAAAAGAAAGTCTCTTCCCACTATAGAAGACAGACATTAGTCAAATGATTACACAAATGAATATATAATTATAAATTTTAATAAGCATGATGGAGAGGAACAGAGTACTACGAGTGCCCCTAACATGTGGTCATTGTCTTGTTTGCAACGTTGGAGACTTCCTTGAGGCATGCCTTTTGAGCCCAAAACAGAAAGGTAAGTGTTAGTTGATGAATCGCTTGCGAGACGCAGTGACCACTGCTGGCAAAGGAGGATGCCAATGCAATGTCACTGATGGAGAAGAGAGTACAGTGTGCCAAGGAACTGCAAGAAGGCTGCCGCGTTAGTTGGGTACAAACTAGCACTAGTTCGTACTAGCAAATGTGCTAGGCGTTTCATGGAATTATGTGAAAGTAGAAGTTGGCACCAAGGCTAAGTCTGTAGGGGGGCATTTTAAGAACAAGGAGGACAAGGCAGTCAGACTTTATACTTGGGTAATAGAAATTACTTATCTAAATCACACAGGGGTTCTCGATTTAGGCACACAAACTAGGCTTATGAATGGGTTCTCAGCAGCCTGCAAGCTTGACAGGTCCCCTTGACACATCTTCCCTTTGTTTCACCATTTCAATGGTCCTGTCCTCAGAGTCTGGCTTCCTGGTTCCACTGCAGAAGGAGTTTCAAATTTACAGTAGCTTCCTAATCCTGGGAGAATCTAATTCCTAATCTTGGGAGAATCATCTTTTGAGGTAAACACCTGGAATTAAGCCTGACAAACCACCAGCAACTGTGTGAAAATAGAGAAAATGTATAAATAACAATCATAAGGAATTAGGAAATCAAAATTCCTAACTTTTCCATCTTATAATTCCTGTGACCTAATGGTAAATAAGCCAGATCTAGCTCTCTGTGGATTCTCTAAGTCATGATCACGCTCAGACTGTGCTCTCTCTCTCTGTCAAATAAATAAATAAAATATTTTTAAAAAATCAAATAAAAAAGGTTCCTGTTTTCATGAAGGAAATTTCCCCAAAGAAACTACATAATCTAAACAAGAAAATGTTGGTTTATCAACCTACAGTCCAATGAATATTAAGTGATCACTACTCGAGCATATATTTTCATATGTCTCTCAGAAAGAGTCCATGACATTCTAGAAAAGAATATATACATATTTTGCATATATGATATATATATGTAAGTTTATATACGTATGTATATATATATACACACACACACATGCATATATCTGCTTGAGAGTAGGGGCATAAAGAGGTTAGAATGGCATAATGCTTTCCTTTAAAAGATTTATTTATTTGAGAGAGAGGGGGGGGGAGGGGCTGAGGGAGAAGGATAGAGAGAATCTCAAGTAGACTCCTTGATGAGTGTGGATCCTGACTCAGGGCTCAATCCCACGGCCCATGAGATCATGACCTGAGCCAAAATCACTAGTTGGACGCTCAACTGACTGAACCACCCAGGTGCCCCAGAATGGCATAACTCTTAAATTGATTGATTAGCCCCCTGAGAATTAAGACAATTATAGCATTCTTCTTATACTGACTCTGGAGAATAACATAATATTTACACAGACCACATTGGACAGGAGCAGAGTACAGCTTGAACTCTCTATTACCTACAGAAAAGAAAAATGTCAATCTATTTCTTAGCTGATAAAGTTCCAGGAAGAGTCCACCCCATCCAAACCCTGTTCCCCACCTCTCCCCACCACAAGAAATAGAACAGCTAATAACTCAGTGAGTTCTTATGCTGAGAAAATCATGTCCTTTTTGAGGTTAGATGTATGTTCTCTTATTTGGTCTTTTATTTGAGTGTGATTCTAAGTTGTCCCCATTTCACGTATGGAAATGTATGTTGTGATGCCGTATGAAGTAAGCACCTACATCTTCTTTTCCCAACAGCAATGATTAAATACGTATCCCTTCTCCCACTGCATCTAATATAACCATTATAACACATTAATATCATATAAATTCCGAAATCTATTAGATCATTCTCTTCAATTGTTCTATATATCTACGATTATGCCAGTGAGTGAAAATAAGTGTCAATTCTCTCCCTTCCTTATGAACCAGGTAATTTAATATATACCTTCTTGACTTGATGTAGTGCCTGGGAACGAACATATGCCCTAGTCAATGTTAGAAGGGAGATTATAACTCTTGGGCTTCCTGTTCAGATAACACCTCCTTAAATCAAGCTTCGTATTCAGTAGAGAGCACATCACTGGAAGGATGAATTGCTCTGATCCTTTTGATTCAAGCAAGAGGCATCTGCCAAGAAGAGAGAATGGTGCTACCCTAGACCACGGACCGTATCAGGAAGTTGAACTTTCCAGTACAATGCGTGACAAGACTACCCTGCTGCTTCTTACTTTCGTTAGGACACCTGAAAATGTCCCCATATGTTACACTGAGCACCTGGATGAGATTATCAGGGACTAACGTCTATTAATGAACATGAATAGAGTGTGTCTTTTATGTAACGTCCACCGGGATCCACAGGGTAAAGAAGGAACCCTCATTACACCTGAAAGGCTACTGGAAGAACCCGAAGACTATAGGAAGCTCCTCCCTTGGGGTACACACTTAGTTACATGCTTCTCAGTGGCCAAATGAATTAGAAAAACAGATACACTTAAGGAAATACTTTTCAGCTTTTGAGAGAAATTCTTTTCATGTATCTACAGATAAGTGGCATTTGACAACATAGAAAATGTGTTCTTTACCTAGTCCTGCAATGGGGAAATTAGGTAAGGTGGACTCTACAGGATTGGTAAACTCTCTATAAAAGGTGCTAGACACGTTCCATAGGACAAGGATGCTGTAAGCATGGATGGGGTTATCAGCACAGATAGGAGACGGAAGGATGGATACTTCCTTTGAAATCGTGCTTTTTAGTGAAGGTATTGGCATTTGGTGCAGGACAGTTCACTAGGTGGGAAATCCAATAACCTTGTTCTTTACCCACTAAATACCAAGGATACCTCCCCAGTCCTGGTGGCAACAATAAATCGATCCAACATTTCAAAATGCACTGCCCCAGATGAGGACAACTCTCTCGAAGCTTCTAGAAATCAGCCTGCCCACTCCAAGATGTGTATAGTCCTGCACTCTTAGCCCTCCTCCCCACAAAAAGCACCCCTTTTGCTGAAACACCTGATCTTTTCCAATAAGAAATACCATCTCTTCTATCCCAAGGCCATCCTTCTATAAATTTATTGCTCTGTGTGCATGACTAATAATTTGATGGTCATTTAATCTGCTGATGATTTAATGATGTCAAATCTCTTTCTGTGCAGCAAGGACTGGCGTTATTCCGGGGCAGAAACAGTGTGTTCTTTTGAAAGGGGTGTGCAAAGATGGAGGATGCACCACCATAGACGATACCATTGGTGAATGCAATGATGAGAAAAAGTGTTGTAGAAAGTGGTGGATATTTTTTCCCTATGCAACACCGGTTCCCAAAGGAAAATCTCCTTAGTGGGAACAAACTAGAAGCCCTTCAAACTCCAGAACACACGGATAAGTTTTGCAGAGCCCTATTTAACCCACCTCGTTTGTCTCCCTTGACTGGAAATAAATGTCCTAAATCCACATGTACTTATCCCTGGGGAGTTTCTTCCTGATGCACATAAAAGCCTCTTAGGAACTACAAGACAAAACTACATAAGAGAGGAATCTCATGCCCTCAAGGTATTTATAGAACATTTCTTAAAAATGATAAAGATAGAAACTTGAAATAGGCAAAAAAGTAAGGATATGAAATAGCAGTAGGTTATGTTTGATCATCTCAAGTGGATTATCAACCTTCCACACCACCTGATTCTGGACAAATACCATCGCATGACTAATAGAGACTTCTGGGAGTGATGGGGATGAAGGTATCCTAGCCACGTGGTCTTCCGGACACTGCCCCTGGGAACTAGGCACACTGCACCAGTCTCAGCAACACTGGCCTGAGGCTGGCCTCCCCTCCTCGTCAGACAGCCCCGGGGAACAGAACAGGACAGCTGCTCCCGGCAAGTAGGCTCTCTGCTCAGGGGAGCTGGATTGCTGACAAGGTGAGAATCTAGCATGCCCTGGTAGTCCTTTCTAGATTCACCATCAGATAATTCCACCTGCTGGCTGGAATAATTCCCACCATAATCCTAATAATTCTGGATAATTTCTACTTTATGGCTAAGCAAATTCAAGGGTGAGAGGCCAGGAATGTTACATGACATGAGGTCCACAAAGATGGAAACAATTACCCCACAAACAAAATTCAAGGCTTTCTTTTCTTTTCTTTTTTAAGATTTTATCTCTTTTATTTATTTGAGAGAGAGTGTGTGAGTGGAAGGGAGAGCGAGAGAGGATCTGAAGCAGGCTCCACGCTGAGCTCAGAGCCCGATGCGGGGCTCCATCCCACAACTGTGAGATCACGACCTGAGCTGAAGCCAAGAGTAGGAAGTTTAACCGCTTAACCAACTGAGCCACCCAAGCGCCCCAAGGCTTTTCGTTTCTTGACCAGATAAATGTCTTGCACACAAAAGCTCCCTTCCTCCCTGCCTGTGTGGCCAGGATACCACATCACGATCTTCTAACACCCTGTGTTGATGACGGCAGGGTCTTGAATCAGTCATATTTAAATTAAAACTGTAGTTCCCGGGCGCCTGGGTGGCTCAGTTGGTTAAGCGACTGCCTTTGGCTCAGGTCATGATCCTGGAGTCCCGGGATCGAGTCCCGCATCAGGCTCCCTGCTCCGTGGGGAGCCTGCTTCTCCTTCTGACCCTCCCCCCTCTCATGTGCTCTCTGTCAAATAAATAAATAAAATCTTTAAAAAAAAAAAAAAACTGTAGTTCCCTTGCTTACCAGTCACATGACTCTGAACTATTTATTTAACCTTCATTTGCCTTAAAATTCTTCTTCAATAAATGAGTGAAATAAACAGTTTAACTTCTGGGCTTGTTGTAAGGATTAAATGAGATCAAGTACACAAAGCACTTGGAGCAGGCACGGTGAGACCCAAGGGAGGTCGGCCAACAGTCGTGTCCCTTTTCTCTTGTCACTGAAACCCCAGAGGGGAAAGAAATCATTGTACTTTGACTATCTATTTAATATCTTATCTCTGAAATAACTAGTGGAGATTGCATCCTACTCTGCTTGTGTAGGCCTGTAAGTGGGATTCGGTTGTGATGCTATGATGCAAATAACAAGTCAAAGTACTTTGACATAGTACTTTGACTTGTTATTATATTATCATATGAGGTATAGATTACCAGTTTAAAATAATGCCACAAAATATAATTAAGATTGAAAGAATATATGGGGAAACAACTATTTCTTTGATATTTCAGAAGAAACCAGAGCAACATCTGTGAAAGTTATAGTTTGTATTATAATTACCATTACCTGCTGATATTCAAAACTTTATCTGTTTAGTAAATACATCTGATTACTCCTATGAAAACCAAAATTAAATAAGAAAGTTAGAAAAAAATTAAAAGAAAGTTTCATCATGATTGATAATTGAGCTGACATTTCAGTAGCATTAGATAATCCTTTCTCATGACATAATAGATTAAAATAAGTAACAATATCAAGAGGAGGGAGTGACAGGACAAAGGAAGCTAGAATTTTATTTTATTAATGGTGTGGTGGATGGCTAGCATCTCTGAGAAATGATTTCTCCCAGATCCTCGGCTCTTCTCTGTTCTTCCTGACCTTGAGATCCCATAAAGATTTCAAAGGTTTCCTTTAGGTTCTGTATTATTATTTAAAATGCTGCTAGGCACATACTCACCAATGCACAGAGTAACTCTTGGTTTCAAACCAAGAGTGTGTATATGTGGAAACACATACAAAATGCAACTTGAAATCACTAGCCGTAGAAAAATGCAATAAGCCATAATTGAAACCAGTATATTTTGTTAACAATGTATTGACTGGAACATTAATGATACTTCAGAGTGTCTCCTCTCTTTCAATTCAGAAGGACTGACATGAACAGCCTATGCCCTTTGTCTAGGTTAGACCAAGTTGGGGCATCATTTGAAATGTCTGATTGCCCGAGTGAAGAGTAACATAGCATCACAACCGGATCCCACTTACAGGCCTACACAAGCAGAGTAGGATGCAATCTCCACTAGTTATTTCAGAGGTAAGATATTAAATATTTTATTGTAATTCAAATATGTTTTCTGGAAGAGGTAATAATAATGAACAGTTATCCTTTGCTAATATGCTCACATATTTTCAGCTAGTGGTTAGCTACTGCATTATTTCAGAAGTGCTGGAAACAGTATTAAAGAATATCAGTTAAATATTCAAGAATATCAGTGATTTGGAATCAGGAGGCCTTGACTCTAGATTCCAGGGCAACAATGTCCAATAGAACTTTCAACGATGATGGGAACTCTCTACTTCTGCATTGTCCACTGGCCACACATGGTTACATGGCCAGGGACTGAGAGGATGACTTTTTATTTTATCTTAATTAATCTTAATGTAAATAGCCACATGTGCTTAGTGACTCATGTCACAGGGCAGAGCTTTTGAGCACTGAGCCTGTGCAGTGACACACGGATGAAGGACCAGGGCTCTGGACCAGAACGAAGTCCACCTGCACTCAAATCTCAACTCCATTCCCACTAGTTGACCCTTTTGTGCCTCAGTCCTATTCTGGAAAAACAAGGACGACCGTAGCATTTTCTTCATTGTTATGAGGATCACATGCACTTGCATATAAAAAGTTCCAAGACAAGTTTTTGCGTTTATCCTGAGGGCAATGCTCACTCATCCTGGGTTCTCTGGGGCTGGTGAGGAACGCGAAGGGGAGGGCCATTTGAGACCCTGGGTAAGCAGCTCCAGTTCCTTCCTAGTTTCATCCTAGAAGTCACCTTCCAGTCCCTGAAACTATTACATTAGTTTTCTTACGAGTTCAAAGAGCTCTGTCTGGAAGGTACTGAGACTCACAACTTAGGACATGATTTTCTGCAAGGACAGTTACACTGGATAAATATGTTCCCACACACTGAGGAAAAGTTCGAGAATTAAAAAAATCACAAGCCAAAATTTGTCAGCTCCCTTGTGAATCATCTGGAGACATTTTATCCCTAAGCTGCCTATATGATTGATACCTGTCGGAACTATTAGAAGTGCCCTTGAAACAAGAAAGGAATGCACAAAAGAAAAGGATCATGTGTTGGCTGAAAGGACACAACCTCGAAGGTAGACTCCATCCCATGTGGGAGCAAACTGGAAAATCTCTGGCTGAAATGAGCCTTCTCTTCTCAGCCTGGTATTCTCCACAAAGAATAAAATGCTATACATTGGAAACTCAGTTGTGTTGACATGATTCCTATTCTAAAATCTGAGTAGCCTTGGGGAGTAAGAGGACCTTTAAATCTTCCTTCTTTCACTGTGAATCAGTTTTATGATATTGTTTTCTTCCCAGCCTGACCTACGATAAAGCCACTCAGAAGATAGGAATTTGGGGGGAACGAAAGAAGACACTCATGCATATCTGAATGCTGGTGCTTGGGGGAGTGAGACTGGGCATCTGAGCTAAAGGGAGAAAGGTAAGTTTAGAAAGACTTAATCACACTTGCAGCACATGAGGAAAGGATGCTTTGGTCAAGCCAACTAGAGGCTGAGAGTGAAGTACAACTTTGGGGAAATATTAGAATAATTGGCAATAATAATGCAATGAGTTGCCTTTTCTTACCACTCCTTACTTTTCACCTGATAAAATCCCATACATCCCTTCAGGGATAGTGCAATTGTCAGACCTCTGCTTAGCCTTCCCCCGATGCACTCCAAATCCTTCTCAAGAGCCAAATCACTCTCTCTCCTTTATGTTTCTATACACACTGCACATACCTCCACTGAGGTATTCACCAACTTCAATTTGGCTCAGAAGTTTCTCAATTTATGGAGTCCTTAATGTCTCATTATTATTTTCACAGCACTCTGGACCAAAAGAAATACCTAATGGTTTTGTTATTAAGTAATTAGTTCCAAATTACTTAATAAGTATCTATGTTCTGACAACATAGTAACCATTTGAAAAAATAATGCACACAAATTGAAAGGAAAAGCAATATTTAAATATAACTTTTAAATAAGCAACCTACTGGGACACCTGGGTGGCTCAGTCGGTTAAATGACTGACTCTGGGTTTAGGCTCAGGTCCTTGAGATCAATTCCTGCGTCAGGCTCTGCGCTCAGCGCTCAGAGTCTGCCTGGAGTTTCTTTCTCTCCCTCTGCCCTTCCCCCACTGCATGCCTGTGCACACTCGCTCTCTCTCTCTCTCAAATAAAAAAATAAATCTTAAAAAGAAAAGCAACCTACTGACTAAATGTATCTGTGTGGCTATGGGGCACTGAACAGCTTCTCAAATCTTGGACACAGATTAGACTCTACCACCCTCATTTCCTGCTCCACGTTGGTTTTCCATGTGGCTCTTAATTTTTATCACAGCATCCAGTGCAAACCCCCTTG